CAGTTTAAAAAACAATGCAAATATAAAACACAAATGTGCCAAAACACATGCAAATTAAAAAAAAATGTCACCCACGTGCCAGCATTTAGAAAACATTCACCAAATAAAAAAATGCTGCAAGAAACTCAAAACACAACGTAAACTGGGACACTACAAAGTGATCCACACAGCTGGGCTCGGAGTGCTTGCTTCCTCCCACTTCCTTGTCTTACCGTAAAGCCCCTCCAGAGGGAGACACAGTCAGGGTAACTGGAAGATAACGTTTTACAAAGTTACTCTTACAACAAATCTTGTAGGCTATTTGCAGTGATCAAATAAGTAATCGAAGATACTCATAAAAGCACTTGTACGAAATTACCCAATAACTGTTGTGATGGTTTTTTTTGCATGTAGGTTAACTGTAACTTTTGAGCAAAGCATTAAATCCCCATTATAAATTAATCGATGCTCCCGAGTTGGTAGATCTGTAAAGGTTTTCATTGTCATTACTTTTATAAAATAAATATATTTCGATTTCAAATGGACTTTTATGTGGATAGTACTCTGTGTACATGAGTCATACACATGGAGCCTACTGCCTGCACCACCACCCTGTCCGCGTTTTCGCCGGCTCACTGCCATCAGCCCATCGTAGCTCGCCGTGATCGTATAGTGGTTAGTACTCTGCGTTGTGGCCGCAGCAACCCCGGTTCGAATCCGGGTCACGGCATTGCGGTAACAATGTCACGGCAGATGGGTTGTCTTTTAAAAAGATTACAAAGAGATACTCACTACAGTTAAAAAAAACAATGCAAATATAAAACACAAATGTGCCAAAACACATGCAAATGTAGAAACATTTTCATCCACTTCACCACACGTGCACAACATTTAGAAAACATTCACCAACTTGAAGAAACACGCGTAGCGTTTACTAAAAGTGTTGCATAAACAAAACGCTGCAAATACTAAACGCTTCAAATAAAAAAATGCTGCAAGAAACTCACAACGTAAACAGGGACACACTAAACACACACAAAACAAGTGTGATCCACACAGCTGGGATCGGAGTGCCTGTTGACTATTTGCATGTGTTTTGGCACATTTGTGTTTTTATATTAAGCATAGATACAGTAGCCTTATGGAGGACAGTATGGAGGATAGGACATGACATAAGTAACAAATACATACATAGAGAATAAATACAGGAATGCAAAAATACAAGAATAAATAAATGTGCAAAAAAACTGAAATAAATTTGGAAATAAATATAGGAATAAATAAACAGAAGAACATTTTAAATAAATAAATGTATAAATAATACATTAGTATAATTATAATTATATATCTTTAATGTATTTCTACATTTATTTTCACTTATGTTTCACACAATGTTGTTTTGCTTGGTAGCCTTGTGGATACAACAACATTTATAACAAAAGTACTTTAAATTGTTTTGAAAGTTTCAACAACTGCACGTGTCTTTAACAATATCTTTGAGTTGCTATAATATCTTATTTCACTTCCTCTGACCAGTCCCACTTTTATTTGGAAGCTTTGTGTCAAGTGTTACACAGTGCAAGGAGAAACACAGTGACTCGTCTTCTCTCTTCAATACATATTATAAAAGCTTACAGCACCGGGAATGTCCGGCGTATTCATGTTCTGTATAAACCTTAAAGCCCTCTGAGACAAAAGTACAATTTGTGATATTGGGCTAATTAAATACACTTTGATTGACATTGATTGATAGATTTAGCACAAGAAGTACACTTCACTTCAGAGCCCTCAAGAGCCAGATATAAATGTTTATTAGTGTACAAAATGGTGTTGCTATTACAGGTTTTGCTACTACCTAAAACTCAGTAGCAGGGGTGTAAAGGATTGGATTTCTAACAGGTTTGAGATTTTTGATTTTTAAGCTCTTCTCCACTATTGCAGTGAGATCACGCACAAATGTAACAAGCAGCACAATACAGTACACACTAGGATAAATCAACATGAAAATGGCATGGCTGGGACTGAACCCACCACCTTCTGACTCAAAGACAACAGCTCTTCCTCACAGCCACAGCCGAATTATGGGCTGTTCAGATATGATGAAATCATAGCCGGAATGTCCCAATCGAGATAACCGTTTTGTTGTTTGAATGGAGGTTTGTTTTGAATGAGAAAAAAACCTGAAGTTTGGTAAAGTTGGATACCGAGGCTTAATTCCATTGTTTCTAAAGGACATATTAAAGAAACCTTACTCTAGATGCCCTAGCCTTGTGTTTTCTGAACAGATGTAAACAATTGGACTGTCACTTCCTATGATGAGTTTCAACAAATGTTTTTACAATATCTCCTCTGACAATTCCTCTCCTCCTCATGTCAAAGTGTATAATAGTTATAATGTCAACAGACATGTACAAGGTAAAATACCATTGAACAGATTATAAAGCTCGAAGGTAGAAGCTTTTAATGTAAGATAATGTTGTAATGTAAGGTAATAGTAAGAGATTAATGCAATATGTGTGTGTGACTTAAGGGTGTAAATGGATATCTTCCAACCTGAGGGTCAGTGGTTCAACTCCCAAAGATATTTAGGCTTAATTCCAGTTTTTTCTAAAGGACATATTCAGGTAAGCAAGTCCCATTCTAACCCTAATATTATACGAACGAGCCAAGCCAGTAAAAATGTTGATGAAATACATCTGGGTGTAAAGGATACCTACCAATGTGGGGGTCAGTGGTTCAAATCCCCAACATGTGAGAGGCAAAATGGCAAACTTCATTGCATATCTTATGGAAATAAAGAGGCTGTGGTAATTGAAGTGAAAGAAATAAAAAAGAAATACTGAAGTTAGGTAAAGTTAGAAAGATAATGAGGCTTAATTTCAGTTTTTTCTATTACCTTTATAAAAGGAATATATTTCGATTTCAAATTGACTTCTATGTGAATCTTACTCTGTTGACATGAGGCCTACTCATGGAGCCTACTGCCTGCACCACGATAATACTCGCGTTTTCGCCGGCCCCCTACCACCAGCCCATCGTAGCTCGCCGTGATCGTATAGTGGTTAGTACTCTGCGTTGTGGCCGCAGCAACCCCGGTTCGAATCCGGGTCACGGCATTGCGGTAACAATGTCACGGCAGATGGGTTGTCTTTTAAAATATATCAAATGAATGATGTATACTGGATTAAATCGGTATCGTATATTTTATGCAATGAAACATTTTAGCATTTAAAAAAATGTATGGTGGTCTGATTGGTGGACTTTAAGCAGATAGGTATGGTGGCCGGCAGGTGCAAACGCATTACAACGGCCCAAAACATTAGGAGAAACGCACTGCAGTTTAAAAACAATGTGAATGTAATAAAGCAATGTCTATATACGCGATTGTATGACACATTTTCAGTTGTTATCTTTCCATGACATTTCCCAATATTGTTATTACCCCTTTGGCAAAGATTTTAATATAATGACTTTAATGTGTTCAATACAGGCTCAGGGATGGACCCAACAAATCTAAATAAATCTATAGATTAGTATGTTAAGGGGGCAAGAAAATCAGCGACTGGACCGTGTGGTGGTGACATACCTGCAGGTGAAGAGACAATTAATGTATTTTACATTTTGTGGAGAAAATATGCTTTGGTTTCACTACAGTCCACAGAATTGGATACAAAGGCAAGAAAGGTATAGTAAGGCTGAAAGTTCATTACCCTGCTAATATGGAGGTAAAATTTGAAGGGTCCAGCACTTTTGAGAGAGAAAGAGAGAAAGAGATTAAAAACTGGTTTGGGGCACATGGAATATAAATATCACCATGGAGGAATAATGTGATTCATAAGTGTAAATCAGACTCTAAATTCACTCACTATCACCAAGAGGTCGAATCACATCTTTGGAAGGATTGTATCTACATTGCAATAGACAGGTCCACATTTCCCCATGGTGCCACTCAAATAGTCCTTAATAAATAAACATATATATATATATATATATTTTTTTTTTGACTTATAACTCATCAACCACCAATGTAATATCAGTTAGTAACTTCATGTAATTCCGGTCAACTAAGCCAAAAATGGTATGCCTAGATTACATTTACCTGGATGATAGGATCAACGGTAGTGTTCCAAATGTTTATATTAAGGACTTTGACAGCAATAAGTACTAGGAAAGTAACCTTAACACGGTTTACTGGGTGCGCTGGCAGGCCAATTTTTGTTCCCAAAGTCTAAGTCTTTGACAGTGTAGCCAACTCAAATAAACACACTAGAGTGAGTTTAATGTCAATCTCTTTTAACCCTGCAATAGCCAGCCAACTCCGGCAGAGGGCAGTGGTGGGGGTGCAGAGGGGAAACAGAGTCTGCATTTCTTTAGTAGAAAGAGAGTTTAGAGAGAAAGCAGGTGGGTAATTGTCAGCTGGTGGACAGAGAAAGTTTCAGCAGAGTTTGTGCTTGTATGGCTGATATTTCTGCAACAAACGTCCAACAAGTGTGGAGAAGATTTGAGCTGGAGTATTGTTTCCCTTTCTCATTTTTGTGTGTTAAAAAAAAAGAGACTGCTTGTTTGGAGATCCACTTCAACAGGAGGACTATTTCACCAGAATAATACTTCATCCATTCATCTACAGAAAGGCTGATCAAAACCACACACGATCTAAACAAAACCACACTACCGGCGTAGATGAACATTTACTGTTTTATTTTCTATTTTCAGAGCTCCAAATTGTTTGTTTGGTTAATTTCTCTTCAACTTGAGTCAGTGGAAGGACACTGGGACTCAATCATTTGTCTGTTCACTGTTAAATAAACTATAGGCTACTATACTCAAGTAAAGAACAAGTCTCTCAAAATTGTATTTAAATATCGTATTTGAGTAAATCTACTTAGTTACTGCACAGTGCACACCACTGCGACTGATCAATGTTTAACTTGTGAAACTGAAGCCTCTTGCTGTGTTATTATTCCCACCATGTGTCTGCAGTATGGTCTGCAGTCACGACGAACTGTAGCCTATCGGAATTTCGGCTCCACTCGTTACCTCTGAAGGCAGCCTCTCAGCCATTGCTATGATTGGCGGAAGGACCTGCCACTCATCATCACTTGTCCCGCCCCGCAGCATTAGCGCGGCATGGCAACGGCGAGGGGGGAGCAGGTACCTACGGTTAGGGGCTCCAGTCTAACCGGACCACAGAGAGTGCAGCAACAGCCGCAGTAGCAGCACTATTTCCCGCCTCACTGACTGGAGAACAGCGCTGATAAGAGGATGCTCCACCGCCACCGCCGCTCCGCTCCCTCGCTCACCAGGTGTTGGACTAAACAGGGACGTCGTTAACAGCAGCAGATCTTGTATGCATGTGCTGTGTCTCCCTGGTCCCGTACACAGACGATCGAGAAGATGCTGAGCCGACTAATGAGCAGCAGCATCAGGAGTCTGGACCGGGAATGCAACTGCACTGTGAGGCTGCTGGACGACTCGGAGTACACCTGCACGATCCAGGTCAGTGGGGGCCAACATTTGCTCTTTTTCAAATCACCTTGTGGAGGACGTGCTATTGACACGTAAACTGGGCGGTGATCAGGTGAACATGATTCCCCTCCAAGCTCATCTTTCCCATTTCTTAGTCTGCTGCAAAGGATGTGTCATCATACCTTAACTCCATTCACCGTCACAGAACATGTATTTGATTGATGATATGTGTGTATGGCCAGACGTGTGGTGTGTGTCATCAATGGGCTGCAGGCGTTGCTTTCGTCACAGCCCATACCTGTGTGGACAGCATGATGTCCATTGCGTAGCAAAATCAAGGAGGTTCAATTTGCACTATTTTGAAATCCAACAGAAGACACACAAAAAACAGAATCTCTTTTGTCATCAGCAGTATACTTGCATGCATTGATTTGAATGCATTATGAAACATCTGTATAATCTGATCAGGAACGATTTCAGTGGATGGATCAGAGAGGATTTATGGCTGCATGATGAGACAGGAGGAGGATGAGAGGTTTTTGTTCTATAACCTCTAGTCTAGAGGTTTAATGTTGTTTAGATTCTAATTAGTCTAACAGAGGCTGGGCAATGGACATATCTTAATTTGTCTTAACAAAGCAGATATTATTTCCCTTGATGTTAATTTGCCCTTCAGGCTGACCCTGGGTTTGACCATGGAGAATTCGATTGCTATGCTGTTTTGACCCCAGGACGGAGCCAATGGGAATAATGATCTGAAAACCTCTGTTACTTAGTGATCAAGTAAATGCATGGAAAGCTTCTTTTCATGAAGATGTGAGCCAGTTGCAAAGGCCAATGCTGTGGGCTCCTCATTTTTTAGGATGCCTTATTTTCACTTTGTGGTTATTTGTTCGAGCTGTAACAGCAGTCCATCAATAGTTTTTATTTATTGTTGACACAGACGCAGCGAGGCATTGGTTCTACTTTGCAGTGACTTCTGAGACTGTAGTTTTTAGTGCTGTACTAAGGAAGAACTAAAGGGGAATTTCTGTTTACTTGGTGTAGATTATTTATTTAGTCTTTCATGTACTTTGGTAGTAACGCTTGAATCTGCACATTGGATTAGGCAGTCAGTCAATCAGTCTCTTATCCAATGTGTCCCTTGCAGACTTGTTTGAATAATTTCTCTTTATTTCTTGTGCTTCTTGAGTCTTAAAAATCAATGTATTGACACAAATGAAGGTGAGGCATGACTGGAGTCAGTAAACAGTTTATAAGCGAGAGCAGAGGAGTAGGAGCAAGTGATTAACGTCTGTGACTTCCTTTGTAAATCTTGTGTGTGTGCGTCTTTCAAGTTGCATCATTGAGGAGTCTGTGTGCATCACCTTACCTGGTCCTTTGAGTTGCTGGAGCTGCGTTTGAAGCTTTTTACTCCAAGGGATTCCATTACTGCTGAAATAGAGATGACAACACACAAAGACCATCCCCACCTGTTCATTTCTTAGATCTGACAGCAAAGGCAAAGCAAGCCGTTTCAACTTCTAACAGCCTAAAGTGGCAGTGCTCGAGGGACACGTACAAAATGTTGATTTTATGCCGGTCTCTGGTCCCTGCTTGCCCTCATCTGTAACTAAATAATACCTGTTGCCAACTGGTTGTGCTAGCGACTGGTAGTGACCTTCACCGCTTGGGGTAAACTTTGTATCAATACATTTTTGAGAGAAAAATCGAAATCTTTTGGTTTTAATGTTAATATTCTACGAAATAATTACTTATTTTTTCTTCTGATGGCAGGGCGAGACATGTTTTTTTTTGATGAGTGGTGTTTACCAAAGTTAAGCCCGCACTGGTTCCTTATTGACTTTTAGAAGCTCTTTCACCCAGTCGTTATTCAAAGTGTTTTGACTGTCTGTGCTGATCCCACCCTTTTAGCAACAAAAAGCACACAGCAGGGACTGAATGCTTAATTTCTAGTTCAGCTTCTTTTGAGATGGATAAGCTCTCTATTGGCGTGCTGTATTTCATTATTTCCCATGATGGATATATATGCCATTATTTCACACCATGGGGGTCTTGATGATGCACAACTGGTCTAAATGAAAACATAAATAGGATCATGGGCTTAATCAATTGTGTATTGTTAACAACAACAACGTCACCATTTATTTCTGGCATTATGATGTGAGAGCAAACATTTAGGGAGTAGTATTAATTATGTTTTACACAAATCGTCTGCCAGGCTAAATAAGCTCTGTTGAACAGTAATTCTTCATTTGCATGATAAAGGACATCACAGTGACCTTACTGGAGCATGACTACATTGTTGGCTCGCTGAAACATGGGAGCGGATGTCTGCTGTCCTTCCCTGCACACCTTGGAGATATGGCCTAGAATGGAGGTCCCTTGTGGGGAAACAACAGTGACACTCTCCATTTAGCTCAATTAGCCTACAAGTTGCACTGCTATTGTTAATCTAAAGTCCTATCATAGTGGAATAATGGTTGATATGACCTTCATAATGGAAACAGCTGTGAAGGCAGCGTGGAGTGGCAGAAAATAAAAAATGTCTGGATGTTTTAACATGTACAAAAGGGCCCCAGACCAATGCCTTTGCCCATTAGACTGTCAGGCTTCTCTGCCACCCTCCTCAAATTCCAACACCACTTATTTACCGCACCCATACTGTGTGCCTGTCCTCCACTCCTCCTGATGACATTGTTACTGATAACATCATGACCCTGGAAGCATAGGATAGACTCATGTTTATTGATTTCTCTTGTCCTTTCACCACCATTCATTCCTTCAGGATATTCACCAGGCTTCTCACAGTCACAATACTTGGATTGGTGGGGGAAACGTTGGAAGGGGCTGCAATTATAGCGCTCAATTATACCCTAGAAGCTTTAGAGAAGTCACCAGCAAAGAAATATAAGCTCAGGAGAGACAGGATCAGAAGCGTTACTGTGTTTAGCCACGTGGTGTTAGCGGTGATCACCAGCAAAAAGGTCCATGAATAATAATGATTAATACAATTATTTAAACCAGGATTTTAAAGATACAATGGATGGAGATGCTAGGCGTGGCAACAATCAGAGTTGTGATATGGAAAAGCCTTCCTTGATGAAAATCAGACTAAATATGGGCTGCTATTTTTTCTTCTTCATCATATTATCATAATCATCCATGTTGCCAACTCCTATATCTTGTTTTTGGCCAGCACGGTGGAAAGGATGAAGCTTTCATAAAGGTGATGACATCAAATCCCATTAAAAGACAAAACCAGCATTTAATTGAGCCTATAAACAGCTATAGTCTGTGTTGGCAAAGCCTCATATATTTTATCTGTGTGCATAGAACGCCGTTATGGTCTAAAAACCGGAAGAGAGTGCTGGTGTATCTCCAGGAGGGATTAGTTGGAGGAGATCAGGCTATAGCGTGAATAAGAGTTTTACAGAATTGTGTGATTATTGTATAGTTCTGTGGGGTTTACTGCATTTCTGCCCTTCAACTCTTTAAATGAATTACCATCTTGCTATCTTTTGTTCTGGACACTTTTTTACAGTGTAGGTTTAGCCATAGTCCAATCCCCATAGAGCACTGTAATTAAAGAAACGCACAAATACAGGGATTATTTAGATTGATCTTTTGTTTGGTTTGTTGGCTTTGAATTATCATAGTATGATTAAACAGCAACGATCTGCCATTGTTAATCAGCAGCATCGCTTGAGACAACACAGAAGAGCAGAATAAACACTCCAAGGTCCCAGATAGTTCGTTTTAATGAGTTTATTATAGTAAAATGCAAGCTATGACATTCAGAATCAACATCCATATTGAGTAAACATAATGTGGAACACTGTTTACCATCAGGGTAAACATCAGAGGCAGACACAGTGGGGCATTTGCTCTAAATTAATATTCCTACCATGAACCAGTATATCAGAGATTGAAAGTAAGATGAATGATGGGAAATCATTGATCCAGAGAGACATAGCTCATCACTGAGTGGTTCAGTCACCTGGTACCAACTCAGATCCTGCAGAGTCCACTAATGAAATTAAGGCCAGTCTTTTGAAGCCAAATGCACGACTTGGAAGGAGCTCGTCTGGTTTTGTGTTGTGAATGCATTATTGAAATATATTGCTCTTGTCTCCTAAGTGGTCTCTGCACTCATATTGTTTTCTTCTCTGTCTGCACTGCTAAAATTGGAATAGAGGATGTACCTCATTGTGTGTTGATACATGTTTGGGTCTGCTCAACTGTTGCCTTTCGCTTCCTAACTAAAATAATGATACTGAGCATTGTACCACTAAATTAGACATAGGTTTCCAAACTAGACCTCGGCCAAATAACAACATGCAAAGGCTTTTTATATGAGAACCATGAATGTCTGTACAATGTCACGGCAATCCATCCAAATGTTGCTGATATATTTAGGTTTAGACCACAGTGGCTGACCGGCATTGCAATCCATAGTGAAGTGCGATGAGTAGGGCTAATCTTGACTATTGCTTTTTTGCATTTTCTGGGAAAAGTAAAACATTCAGGCTCTTCTTACGGGCATTTGTTAATATTTATGGCATTTATTACATTATATTCTGACAATGAACGTCAAACGAATAAATAATCAAAAGCTCACTCATTATGACACCTTAAGGAAACTTACTGACAGCCAAAGTTTTCAGATTGGAACAAATTAGACTTTCGGATACGCTGTTGAATGCATGAATAATCTCACTTCACTTAGAAACTGCTGTCAAATTGCCTTTGATCGCGATTCTCAGCTCCTGTGGATCAGCTGCTAACAGAAACCGCTTGAGTTGGGAACCTCCTAGATAGAGGCTAAAGGAGCTTAATGTGAAATATGATAAGGTTTTCGGTCTGTATTTTTAGACATGTTGATAGTAACTTCATTGTTGAGTCCCCTGGCAGCCTCCCTCACACCACAGCTAGGAAATGCCTCGCGTAGCACCTTGAACTGAAGTGCTAAAAATGATTATGCATGCTCAGTCAGCCTTTCCCTAATAAAGGTTTATCATTCAGTATTC